CCTCCTCTTCTTCTTCTTCTTCTTCTTCTTCTTCTTCTTCTTCTTCTTCTTCTTCTTCTTCTTCTTCTTCTTCTTCTTCCTTTTTAATGGGGGGTGAACTCAGGACTTGGCCAGGCAATTTCATCTGAACTGGTAAAGCCTTTGTATCAGAAGGGAGTTGGCCAGATGGTAGCAAAGAACAGGATAACCACCCTCAAGAGTCAGGACTGTCGGTGCCCGTGCAAGTACTGCCCAGAGGGGAGACGTCTGGGTAGTGAAGACTTGGGGTGCACGTAGTGTTGAAATACTTCTTAGTCTATGACTTCTCTTTGTGTGCCAAGTAACTATTTGACACCTCCCTTTCCCGTGAACACCCATGACCAGGGGGCTCTGCTTGAAGTGGGCTAAGCATTCCTGTCTGCATGAGCGAGAAGAACGGTAAAAGTCTGTTCAAAGCAGATCTACATGGGATGCCCAAAACATTGAGTTGCTGGTGTTGGAGGACTTAGGCCAAGACCCCGAATGGGGCTGACCTCACCAAGGTACTTTATAAGGATTCTTTCAAAACATCTGGCAGACTTTCCCCAAAACACACTCCTGTTTGCTGAGGATGTTTTTGTTTTGGTCTGGGTTTTTTTGCAGTTAAGTTATACCATCAACAGGACTTGGGGCTATGAAACAGAAGAGGTACATTAGGGAAAATCTTGTTAACACTGTTCACCTGGATCTCTACAAATCCTTTTCAGTATTTCAATGCCTTTCCCTCTTTTTACAATTTTCCTAATGCCCTGAAAGACATTTCCTGGAGCTTCTCATTCTCCTTGGCTCCCAAGGCACCCAGCATGGAGGCCCAGGGTGGGAGGTGCTACGTGGAGCAAGCATCACTTGCACTTGTATGTTGTATTCCTGCCGAAAGACAGTCTTCTCCCAGCCTTTCTAAAAGTGTATGACCGCAAGCTTTTCAGCACCATCCCAGTTCTGAGCCCAATTACTGCCCAACTCTATTTCTCCAATGGCAACTTCCTGGGTGCTTCTGTAAGATGAACTTACCAGGAATGGACTGTAGTGTAAAATAGGGTGAGTAGGGGCTGGTGAGATGGCTCAGTGGTCTAAAGCACTTGCTTAGAACAAGCTTAGCAAAGCACAGGGACCCCGCGGTTCTATCCCCCAGCACCACATGCCAGCCAGGGCCGCCCCCTGGTGGGCTGAGCTGGCCACACACACACACACACACACACACACACACACACACAAAAAAAAAATTTTTTAAAATTCTAAAAAAAAAAAAAAAAAAATAGGGTGAGTATCCTCTCCAAGCTGAGTACCCACAAATAGTCGATGATTAGGGTGATAGTGATGGAAATAATGGTAAGGATACTAGAATCAGTTTGATTGACTTTATTAATTCTGGTGAATGTTTTCATTGTATTCAAGCCCCTTAGAACCCTAAAACTAGTTCAGTGCAAGTGAGATTGGCTTCTCATCTCCTACTAAATTATGTCTCAAGACAAGTAGAAAGAATAAATCCTAGAGTTTGTAACAATAACTTTTACACTTAAAAATTATGTATCAAAAAAAATTTATGTATCTTTACTCTTTTAATATTTACTATGGAAACCCAGAAGAATCTTCTTGCTTCCCTGCTCTTCTCCAAAAAACCTATTATAATTGTAGAAGCAGAATGCCTTATGCCTTATTTTTACCTCTTTAAAAATCTCTTATTTGGGACTAGAGTGTGCTTGCCTGGTGTGAGCGAGTGTGAGCCTAGTGTGAGCGAGTGTGAGTCTGGTATGAGCCGAGTGTGAGCCTGGTGTGAGCAAGTGTGAGCCTAGTGTGAGCAAGTGTGAGTGGTGTGAGCTGAGTGTGAGCCTAGTGTGAGTGAGTGTGAGCCTAGTGTGAGTGAAGCTTGGGTGCAAACCCCAAAAAGAGAACAAAGGGAACGACTTTTCCTAATTCTCTACTACTAGGTGCTAGATTTATTTAGGTCCCGGATTTTCCCATTCATTTCCAATAAATCAAGTTTTATCTGTTGCCTTGAAAAAAATCAAGAAAAGAGAGAAAAGGACTACTAACTCGAAACAGAGTGAAACAAAATTTCTAAAACAGTACAGTCACTAAATGAAACTTTGCAGATGAAGGAAAGCTGGCCACATTTACGTAAAATAAATCTTGTCTTTTGTTTTTCAGCCATGAATATGTCCCTATAAAACTATTTTTAAAAAGAATTGAGCATCAAAATTCTGATATCTAGCATTGAACATACCCTTTAATTCCAACTGAATTGTTTATCTAAAGTAACTATATTCAAAATGGTACCTATAACTAAAGAAAAGATATGAATTGCCTTCCATTTTGTCAGAAAAACCCTGATAACCATCTATGTCTTTTTTATGTTCAACTATAAGTGGATATATCTTGTAGAATCCTTATTTTTAGTGTTGTTGCTGCTGTTTTGCTTTGTTTTGTTTTCTGTTTTGAGATGAGTCTTGCTATACCGTGAAGGCTGGCCTTGAACTCACAGCCAGCCTTCTGAGCCTCCCTAGTAACCGGGATGCCAGATCTGTGCACTTCCCCTTCCCCTTGGGATTCCTTAGCCTGAACAGCAGGTGTGAGATGTTAATGGCACACAGACCTAATACCCTTATTGCAAAGGAAGATCATTCCTTCTTCCTTACCTCTCTAAAGGGTGGAATTTTTCTTAATGGGCTTATCAAGACAACAAGAGATCAAGCCCCAGGAAGCACTGTCGCTGGAGAAAATCCGCAGGCACTGCCCAGCCTAGCAAGAGAAGGCACACATTCCCTTCTGGTGTAGGCCTGGAGCAATGAACCTCAGTCTTTAAAAAAAAAAAAAACAGAATTTCAAAACAAGACAATAAGAGATTAGTAATGGTTAATATATTGCATATTGTTACCTCCAAAGTAGTTGCTCAGATTACAAGATACAGGCATGCATAGTTGATCAATCAGTATATGTACAAACCATTTTTTCTTTCTTTCTTTCTTTCTTTCTTTCTTTTTTTTTTTTTTGTATTTAGTAGAGTGTCTACAGGGTCTCACTACATGAATGACACTTGTGATCCTCCTGTTTTCAGCCTCTCAAGGGCTGGATTGCAGGCGCGCACCATCATGCCCAGTCTCAATTGGCGTCTCAGTGAGCCCCAGGGGCGGGGCTGGCACTGCACACAGGGTTTCGAACCTCAGTCACTGCGACTACCTAAGCAGGCACTTTGATCTGCTGAGCTATCGGGTCGGCCCTTTACAAATCATCTTTTCAATGAACTAAAGAAATCACTTGTATAACTATCTTTTGTATATATATATATTTTTTTTTCATTTCTCTTCCTTCTTTTCTCCTTTCATTCACCCCAGTTCTTTCATTTTGAGTTATTTCTTTCCTTTCATAATATCTATTGTAGATTTTGGGTCTTATTTACTTTTTTAATTTCTTATACTAGGGAGACAGAAAGTCTGATGAAACACAACTAGTTAACAAAGAAGTTATGGGAATAACTGTAGATGTGGGGAAAATTACCAAATAAATTTACCTAGATGGTAGTACTGTTTATTATCTACTTTCTAACAAGTGTTTCTATGTTACTTTTTCAAAAACTAAAATTAAAGTATTAACATCAAGTTCAAGGTACACATGTATATTTGACTTGTAGCATGTTGACAGCAAAATCAAAGAAAGGGGTATGCCAATGGAGAGTGCTGGTTACAATGTGGTTCATAGGCAGAGTAAGACTGTACCAGCAATTTGAACATTTGTGTACCAAGGTTAGAGGTAATATGAAAATCGGTGCCAAAAATAAAAGGCTTTCCTTGAGTGCAGCACACAACCTCTTGCTGAAGTCCCTGTCCCTGTAAATTTTGGTTAATTCTGTAGGTCGCACTGTCTTTGATGGATTTGTGTTTCCTCATCATCAGAGCAAAGAACAGTGTGCCACAGAGTGTGGGCTTGGCTTGGGTTTCAGCCTGCGCCCAGCTCCGTGGTTCATCAATAAACCCAAGTTTTTGTTTTTTAGGAGGTATGGAAAGTATGCAGGAGGATAGATCTGAGTTCCACTCCTCAGGGAGCTTTGGGGGACCAGCAAGTTAGCTCAGTTGTTTAAGCGCCTGCTTATGCAAACACAGTCAGTATCAGGATTCTGTAGTTCAATTCCCCAGCTTCACATGCCTTACCAGACCCGCCCTTAAGGCAGCCTCAACCAGCCAAAAAAAAAAATCCTCCTCAGGGAGCTTGAATCTAGTTAAAAAGACATACTAAAATCTAGTTAGTAGGTCAATAAGACACACTATAAAATTCCCTTATAGAATAGTCCCTTTTGTGATCTGAAAGTGGTATTGCTTTTCACCTTTTTCATGATATTGCTAGAAAGACCTATTGGATAAAAACTATGTTGATGTCTTAACATAAATGGTTCATATGGTTCATAGCTGTCTTTCACTCAACAACTCTAATCTTTGGATTAAAGTGTGTTTGAAGTAGTTCCATCCGGCTGGGGAGAAAGCTCGGCAAGCCAGTGCCTGCCTGGCAAGCGTGAGGACCAGGGTT